TTGTTTGTTTGTTTTGAGACAGGGTTTCTCTGTGTAGCTCTGCGCCTTTCCTGGAACTCGCTATGGAGACCAGGCTGGCCTCAAACTCACAGAGATCTGACTGGCTCTGCCTCCCAAGTGCTGGGATTAAAGGCGTGTGCCACCACCGCCTGGCTCACCTGTATTTCACTTACGATGGAAATAATGGCTGCTTTTCTGGTATTGCAGGGAAAAGAAAATAATATAAAATGTAGATCTAAAACCTTTAATAGTAACAAACATCAGATTAATCTGGGCTAATAAAGCAAAGCAGTTGGCAACAGAAAGCCCAGTTCAAGCTCCTGCTCCACTTTATGTATTTCTTTTGCAGTACTGGGGATTTAAACCCAGGGCCTTAGGCATGCTAGGTAAGAGTTCCATCACTGAGCTGTATCCCCAGCCTGCTCCACCTTTAAGTGGCTAATGATCTTAGCCAAGTCACCTCAAGTATCAAATGAAAACACATAGTCCTCATGGGTATACAGTGAGAGTCTGTGGGCTCATTCTAAATATAGAATAGAAAATCTTAATGTAAAATACATTTTCTTATCAGGATATACAGGAAAACCCTGTCTCAAAAAACAAAGGAACAAAAACAAAAAACATTTTCTGTCAGAGAAGCACCAGTTGCCTAGCAACTTGGCAGATAATGCAGAAAATTGAGCTTATCAGTGGGCATGATGGTTAAATGGACATTAGTCTTTTTTTTTTTTTTCTTCAGGGCTGAGGACCGAACCCAGGGCCTTGCACTTGCTAGGCAAGCACTCTACCACTGAGCTAAATCCCCAACCCCGGACATTAGTCTTTTTAGGATTAAATGTCTGTGTGATGCCAAGAAAAAGTTTAGGTTTCAATGGGAACAAAAGCCACCCAATTCACTGAATTTCTTTTCTTGTAGATTTTACTGCATCTGCCTTGTGTCTTCTTATATGGAATTTCCACCATCAGCCCATCTCATCCATTCATGTGGGTTTGAATCTATCACCTTTGTACTGAAGGGTCCAAGTTTATATCAACTTTTTTTTTTTTTTTTTTTTTTTTTAAGCTAGGACTTCAACCTACAGCCAGGGCAGAGCTAAGAGCATTACAGAGGTGTAGAGTCAAAGCCCTGATCACACCATACCACACTACCAGTAAATGTCACTGTTGTTTAAGTCCTTGAGAATTCAGTTTCTATATGTAGGTATATTCCTAACCAATGGTGGTTTTCTGCCTCTTCTGCTTTACCGCCCTGCCTAACACTGTATTCGTATGTTTAGTAAGTGTTCTAAATTGAGCAAATATCAAATAGCTTTCATACTTTCTAAAATTTCCCCTTCACCTCTGGGAAGTGGAGCTACCAACCTATCCAGGAGCTGAAGGCAGCCCCTGGGGGTGATCCAGACCCTTTCCTCACCTTCCAAGTCTAGGGCATTAGTTAGATCTTGTTCTACTCTAAAGAATGCCCAGAATCTCTGCTGCTATCTGCCTTGGTTCTAGCCATCCATGTCTCTTAGTTCCTGTTGCCTTGCCCTGCTGCCCAGCCACTTTAACAAAGTATAGTAATCCTTTTAAAATGTTCAATTGTCACTCAAAGCCCTTTATTATGTTTCCATGACACTGAGAAATAAAAAGGCCAATCCCTTATTAAGCCTACATGGCCTTAAGGGGTAGCTAAATGTTCCTTACAAACTGACTCAATGAGCCCCATTGAGGACAGAAGGGGACAGGAAAACATAATTGTCCTACATTGGAAGCAGTAATATAATAAAGTGTCAGTTCAGCATATTGAATGTGTGTGTTAGAGGGTGTGAGTGACTGGGACAAGGGGTGAGAAAAGAGATTTAAAACGTGAGCTAGCTTT